GTAGCTCATAATGTAGCCCGTATTGCACGAAGGGCACATACGGACACACTCTTTATTGCTCATGATGTTGCTTTTCTCGTGCTTCAGTAAACTGCTGGTTGCTGAAGAAAAGAGGGAGCAGATCGCCAGGCAACCTCCCTATTTATACCGGAAGGAGGCCCGAGGGTGGGGCCCACCTAGCGGGTGGGCGTGGACTACAAGTGTTTTCAGTACTGCGCGGGGGCGCAGAAGGGTAAACCCAATAGCGATAGCCTTAGAGGGCGAAGCCATATACGAAATAGAACGAGGGGTTACGTATGGTAACCCTTGTTATATAAACACAGGTGGAGCCCTCTACTGGACTCTATGGGTACTTCACCTTGATCCTATCATGCAAGCATTCATCCACTGAGACTTTCTAGACGTAGCCGGCCCCGGGGCGGGACTACCTGAATGCGTGCGCATCTCACCGCATAAAAGGAGGCCTCGCTTCCTTACGCAGTGTCCACACGGCGGCGTGCGTTGAAGCTTGCTGGTGAGCTTGTCTGAAACTTGACCAACAACCAATCACATGAATCTCCCGCCCCGGACACACAAGCACGTAGTTTGATTGGCAATCATTGGCTAGAGCTTGTACTGACGTCACCCCATTCAAAGTGAATGGGCAGAAGCGTTGAAGCTTCAACGTGGACGGGCCGTTACTGTCATCCTTTACTTCAAAGTGCAAGTGGGCCTGACGGTGAAGGGCAGTCATGGCAGGCTCCTGGCAGTTGCTGTTGGTATTGGTAGAGGAAATTTGTCAAATTGTTCATGGGCGCATACTCAGCTCTGCTGCTCAACCCACAAATACTTGTTCCTCACACATGTGGTACCATTGGAAAGGTAAGAAAACAGGCTTTCCAACGGTATAAGATTTATTGCATTGTTACAACATAGAAATCAGGGCCGGTTCTAGCCAATTTGATGCCCTAGGCGAGATTTTAGCTGAATTTTTTGGAATATTTTAAAGTAAAATGCTTCAATCCGGTGCACTTTGAGCACACAATTACTTGAGACTAGATCTATGGGGTACAACTCTAAAACACCCATATGAAAAATATCGGTTTACATTTTAATAATCAAAAGAGTGTGAACATAACCAATAACCATAGCCAATAGGGGTGTAACGGTTCACAGAATTCACGGTTCGGTACGTACCTCGGTTTGGAGGTCACTGTTCGGTACGGGTTCGGTACAACAAGAAAAAGCTCAAAAAAAGTCCCAAATGCACAATTCCAGGTTTGTTGTTATTTATTTTTTAACAGTAGTGCAAGTTTCAGTTTAAAAATAAGGAACTCTGACATATTGAATAATTAATTGTATTACACTGTTAAAAACAACCCACAAACGGTACCACACAAACTCAGATGCCCAGATTATATAATGGCTGATGTCAAACAAAAAGGTTCAATAAGCTGTAAAACTAAAAAGAATGTCTTGAAAATATTACATCATAAATAATAAGAAAGTGTTTCAAGAGCGCATAGCCGTTGAAATATATATGCCAATAGCTTCCGTTATTTATTTTGGTCTCTCGGCTCTCATGTCTATTGGCTTCTTAAAAACAGCGGGGATCAGCTGTTGAACTGCTGTTGTCTTTCGCCGGGCTCCGGTGATTGGCAAATCTGGGTGATGCCTTCTGATATGATTTAGCATGTTTGGCGTGTGTCACCATTAGCATACCGCACCGCTGTCCTCCGACACACCGTCCTCGTCCGATCCACCACTCGCACTTCATCGTTATTGTAGTCCACAGGGAACCCGAAATGTTCCCACACAGCTGATTTAAAAGAAGCAGGTGGGTCTTCTAGCTCCTGTGTGTTATCTGAAATCGCCATACTAACTTTTCTTCTTGTATTTTGTTCGTTTTGTTGTGTTTTCTTCTTGTTCTTCATTTGTTGTTTAAGGGCGGCTGTCGAACAGCTTTTAGGCGCAATACCGCCCCCTGGATTATAAATAGTGTAATGGATACTGCCCTGAATGACAGACCTTTTTCCCACTCGTAAAAAAAAAGGAGTATTCGTCGTGTGACTGCATGTGCCGAACCGTGATATCCGAACCGTGACGGTACGGGACGAATACGGATATACCGTTACACCCTTAATAGCCAATAACAAATAAATGTAGGGAGGCCTATTTTATTTTTGTTGTTCATTCATATCTTATTTTACATAGGCTAGTTAACATTAATTTATGCATATTTTTTGTATCTCTCCAGTTTTAAACTGTTAAGCCCCAAGCCTGTTTTTCAGGTATCGGGCTCGAAAATGACATTTCCAGAACAAATGACCATAACTCTAAAAGGGGAAAATTAATAATCTTTTTTCTCAAAGTAATGATAAACCTGTGAGTTGGATGTAGAAGAGTCAGAATCAATATAGATTTATTTAAAAGTAAATTCAGATTGAACATAGTAAAAAAACTGTAAATGATTGTGTTCGTCCAAAAATTATTTTTTACCTATAATGAAAACTACCCTTGGATGATGGGTTAGTAGACTAAAAGCTTTAGGAATCCAAAGTACAACATATAATAAGTACCCTGTATCAAGATTGATGCAAAACAAGTGAAATTGTTTCTGTCTGGGGTCATTTGGGTGGATTTGACCTATCTCCTATGGGTCGATTTTGATGATTGACATCTCTTCTTAACAATTAGAGCCAATGGAATCGAGGGAAAGTTCCACATATACACACAGGTTACCAAATAAGGAGTGAGAGAGACGCGTAGCCAAAACCGGATCTGCGACACACTCTGGTGGCTACCATTAGCAGCTAATTTTTATTCTCTGATTTTTGCATACAAATTGAATTATGGACTATCAATACTTTTTTCAAAGTGACAGACACATTGGATAACCTATGGATTAACCTTCAGCTGCGTTTTTTCTCGTTTTAATGCAATTGAACACGACTTTTGATCAGAATAACAGCTAAAGTGAGCATATCTCCGTGTTTTGCTACCTAAAGCTACATTGTGTGTTGTCTGTATTTGCTTCCCCTGTCACGAGTTCTGATCGCTCAGTGATGATACTTATATTTCTATAATCTGTGAACTCTCAGGATGTTAGCTAAGCTTGTTTGTGTAGATCCAATAAGTATATCGATCGGTATAGCTAGAGTTCTGTGCTAACGGCATTAAGATTTTTTAGCCCAGGGCTAATTCAGAGGCTCAGCAGTTAGCTGAGTTTCTTCCCGTTACATGGATATGAAACATTCATAGTTTATTAAATCTTAAGAAGCCCTCAGACACTGTTGCTTGCAGATATTGTGGTTTCGGACCCGCCGAAGGGTCCGTGGGGCTTAAGAGGATGTATGTAGTGGAGTAGAAGTATAGAGTAGCATACACTGAAAATACCAAAATTAAATACTTTCAAATGTGAATACTGTCCTATAGTATGTTGAAATGATTTCAAACCTGTTTATCCCAATAATTATAAAGGAGTGCCTTGGAAATATTTGTTTACATAAATTGTGATCAAAACGTTTGAGACCCACTGAGATAACTTAGACTAAAGTGAACTATCTAAACACTCAGAGTCCTTACCTCACTGAGCTGTAGTTATCAGCCACTCAGTCTGACTGGAGAGGACTCTCCCTCCACATTATTGTAGAAACATCTTCTTCTTATATCCGTTAGAGCAGCTAGCACCAGATGCTAATAACAACAGCGCCGGTACCGGTGCACCCTCTCTCTCCCTCGCTCGCTCCCACGCTCACTCGCACTTTGGCTGTTTATGATTATTAAGGATCCCCATTTAGCTTTTGCTCTTGACAACATCTACTCTTCCTGGGGTCCGACACTTAAAACAATACAACAATAATACAGCAACATTCAAGACATAAGTCCTGACATCATTAACAACATTAACAACATCACCAATATTATCAACAATCTCTAACATCATCAACAATGTCATCCACTTTCAATATCAATCTCAGCCAAGGATGAGTGCACAAGAAACCCACCAGTATGCTGGTGCAAGTATGCTATCAAATTCAATGAGGGTTCACAGCTCACAGGGTACATGGTCATCAGTAGTTGGCCCTTCAATCTCTTCTTGAAAGAGGCTCTGGACTCTATTTCAGCAAGGTAGTTTGGCAATGAGTTCCATTCCTTTATAGCTCTATAAGACACAGAAGAGTTCAGAAGATGTGTCCTGGGTTTAGGTGCCAGTAGATGGCCTGATGTAGCTTGTCTAGTCTTATGGTCATGCTCGTCTCTTGTGTAAACTATTTGATCATACAAATACAGTGGTCTTTTGCTAAATTGGACATTTTTTAGAAAAGTGATAACACCAGATTGCAGACGTTTCTCAACTGGAAGCCATGATAGCTGTGCGCTGCGGGTGCCTGATAAGCCAACATCCCCCACTTTCATCACTTACAGCGCCCATCGTACAGGGCAAATGAAACGTGTAACCGGGGTGAAAAGGGTGTTACCTTTACTTAATTATGAATGTTGTTACATCTATGCCGAAAATTAGGATGAGCACCAACGGTCAAAAATGTTTTTTTCCCTCCCAGAGTTACCAGCGCAGCGCCCCCCCAGATCTGGCGCCCTAGGCGATCGCCTATGCCAAATACCGGCCCTGATAGAAATCATCTACCAAACTCAAATTGCTTTACTTTTTGTGTTTAGTTTATATATGCTTTTTATTATATTACAAGCAGCATGTATTACTTCAACTCTCTCATTCAATGTAGGGTTGTCACTGATCACATTTCCCGTCCGTCCACATCACTGTGCCATGTTGAAGTCCTTTTAATGATCTAAAAAGCCCTCTATATTCCAGCATCTCCATGACCCAACACAAACGCTCACACTTTCACTCACTCATTCTTCTGAAGAAATCTAGTTTCCCCAAACTGTCATCTTAGAGCAGCACATTTTTTCAAATTTCGCAAATGTACTGATTTATTTTCACACAAGTTATTTAATGTAATGTATTGGTCTCTTTCTCTCTCTCTGTGTGTCCCCAGCAAATGGACCATGCAGTGTATACATTTGAGCAGATTCTCCACCAGAGTCTGGAGTCTCAGGGTACAGAGGAGCTCTGTAAGGCCATCCAGCGCTGCCAGGACAGAGTCATTAAGGTACACACACACACACACACACACACACACACACACACACACACACACACACACACCACACACACACACACACACACACACACACACACACACACACACACACACACACACACACACACACACACACACACACACACACACACACACACACACACACACACACACACACACACACACACACACACACAGTTTACTAATAACCTAAAGGAAGAACTGATGTTTTTAAGTGGGGGTGTATGAGGTATTTATCCAAAGTCGGTGTGTAACCCAGGTCAGAATTTGATCGTCTGCAGCCTCTTTTCCTGATCACATTTAGTTTGGGAACAAAGCAGTTGACTCATAAAATATTTCTTCTGAAAAAACTCCTTTGGTGTTAGTAATGCTTTAGTGTTTTGTTCAATTATTTTGGGTTCAGAAATTTGACTATGACAGCAGCACAGTGAGGAAGCGATTCTTCCGCGAGGCTCTGCTGCAGATCTTCATCCCCTATATGCTGAAGCAGCTCAGCCCGGCCTGCGGCTCGGTGAGTCCCAACCTGCAGGATTAATGAGACATGAATGCCGTCACTTGGTATGTGTGTATATACAATCCTGAATAACATTTTAAGACTGGGGGAGAACAAAATTAAACGTAAAAAGAAATACGGTAAGAGTGTAAATATAAAACGCTAATATACGCTTCCCATAGTTGTAGTAGTTTGGTATAATGAAGTCTAGTTTATTTCTTTAAATAGAGTATCATACAGATACTCTATGCTTGATAACCTGCTGCTGCTCTTACACAATCAATTCCCAATTTGGGATAATATAAAGTGTATCTATCCTTCTATACATATTTAAAAGTCATGGGGTAATGGAGGATGTTCATATAGAGTAAGATGTTGAAAGGTTTTGATTCTTGTTGTGAACACCAGGAGCTGCCACGTTTCCGAGAGCTGATCTTCGAGGACTTCTCTCGTTTCATTCTGGTGGAGAACATCTTTGAAGAGGTGGTGCTGCATTCGGTCATGAAGAACATCATGATGGGTCAGTGTTCTCCTCGTCCTCCTTCCTGTCTGATGAGTGCTACGAAGGGTTGACCTACAATCTTTGGGCAGACTTTCTGTTGGTCCAGCAGTTTTGACTAACTGGTGGTGGACAAAGACTGTATTACACATGTACTATTGCAATACTGTCGAACACTCAAAATCGCAGATGTGAAAATATAAGAGGAATTGTCTCCTCGCCCCAAAAGACCTGAGGTGGGGGATTGCAGAATTATTCAATGTTATGTTTTCAGGAAAGAAGTATTTGTATATATGTTTTTGAGACCACCAATGATCACAATGACACACATTTTGACCTCTTGTGTCTGCAGCTGTGAAGGAGGTGGCGGTCCAGAGGAGACACAATCTCTACAGGGACAGCATCGTCCTCGGCAACAGCGACCCCAGCCTGCACCTGCTCGGAGAAAACCCCTCCATCGACTGGGCCGAAGAGTACGGAGGAGCTCAGGAAGAGGCGGAGCCAGCAGGCCAGGCCATTGAGGAGGAGGAGGGGGGGGAGTCTCAGAGGAGGAGGAGGATGAAGCAGGTGGTCTCCATGATCCAGGTGGAGGGCTCCCCAGTGCTGCCCAACGAGTCCTGCATGGAGGTGCCCAGTGTCGACGACATCCCGAAGGAGAAGGATAGAGTTTTCGAGGAGAACTCCGATGAGCACGACCAGGATAGATCTGCAAGTCCCAGCGCTTCAGAGAACGTGAAATCTGTGGATGAAGAGAAAGCTAAACCAGAGGAGCAGGGCAGAGAAGAAGTCCCACTGAAGCTCCAATCAGCTGGAGAGGAGAACAGCCGACCCATGGGGGAGCCACAACTGCCATGCAACCAGGAGGAGGCGCCAGGGCAGGCATCAAAGGAGGCATCAACGGAGGCATCAAAGGAGGCGCAAGAGGAGGCGCCAGGGGAGGCCTCGCCAGAGGAGGCGTCAGGGGAGGCCTCGCCAGAGGAGGCGTCAGGGGAGGCCTCGCCAGAGGAGGCGTCAGGGGAGGCGTCAGAGGAGGCGTCAGGGGAGATGCCAGAGGAGGCATCAAAGGAGGCGTCAGAGGATGCGTCAGGGGAGGCATCAGAGGAGGCATCAAAGGAGGCGTCGGAGGAGGCGTTACCCCCGCCCCCACCACCTGAGGAAAGCCTACCTGGAGCTATGGACACAGACCCAGAGGGCCCCCCGGAGCCAGCAGACCTCCCCCAGCCTCCACACCACGACAGTGGCTTCCAGTCTCCCACCAGTGAGGAGGCAGAGGGACAGGAGTAGGAGGAACCACCTGGGGGGCGATGAGTGTTGCCGCAGAAACAGAGACCAGTGATGAATGAGCTCCATTTGAACTGGATACTGCTATGTTCGGTTTTTAGTTTTTATTTGACAAATATTAAATGATACTTCTTTTGGTTTTAACTCCAGGCACAGTAATCACAGATCGGCACATCCTTTTCACCAAGCAGGGCTCAGTTGTTATCGTCATATTATTAAACACACTTTTTCAGAACTTTTTTTTCACAACTGTCCAGCTGACAGAAAATCCTCAGCAGATTCTGAGCTTTCGGTCAACATAAATTCCTCACTTTACTTTCTCTTTACCTGGTATGATGGTGTGTTGTGTTGAGTGACAGGCTGCAGGGACACCCCAGTTTAGGTGCCTTCGGTGAAATATGTTAATTGATATAGTTCTTGAGTTAATAAAAAAAAAAAAATCCTTTTCTCGAATGTGGAACATTAATTCCTTAATTGTGTCAAAGTACTTACTGGCATCTAAAGACAGGACCATTACTTTTGTGTTGGTGGCAAAAACACAAAAGAAAGATCTAGCTTTTGTATATTATGTATAAATATTATGGACCCGGAACCAACCAAGTTTACCTTTTACATAATTTGATATGGTTTTGTAAGTGCCTTATCAGATCTCTCCATTTATTTATGCATCCCTTTTTTGTACTTTTAGATTTGTTTCCTCTTGTGTGATTCAAATTACTTTCAATGATGATAATAATAAATCATTATCAATTTATTATAATCAGTAGTCTTGTTTTTTTTAATATTTATTTATTTTTCAAAAATGGCATTATAATCGGTGACATACAAAGAAAGTAATCTCATTAGGGAGGAAAGTACATGAATATAAGTTTTCACTCAGACGAACATTGTACTTTATGCTTGTATACTCGAGGCCTTCATTGCCCCACCAGTCGAGTCCAGGGGCCTCATTTATAAAGGGATATACGCTCAAAAAATGGCGTACGCCAGTTTCTATGCAATGTTTGCGATTTATAAAATACTAACTTGACGGGAAAATGTGCGGTCCTCCACGCAAACTCTAACCCATGCGTACGCACTAAGCATATGGGCTCAGAACAGTCTCATAATACACACATGCACACAGAAGGATTCACACTTGTATTTCATGATCCGCAAAAGGATGCACACTTGTATTTCCGGATCCACACTTGTGTTTTTCAACACAATGAGCCCCGCCGGTCATTATCGGCCGATACTCACTCTTAATAGTTTGATCGGTGCTCTCTATAAAGGCCGATCAGGAGAGCTGGATCTGATCGATATGGACATAAACGCGAGTGAAGTGTAACCGGACGCGAGAGAGAGATCAGATCAGCTGCTGAGTCTGACGGAGACACGCTGCTATGCATAATCACCTGAAGCCCCGCCCACTGTTTAGCAAGCTGAATACGCAAAATGCGTATATGAAGTGTCATGAATGCAAGAAATCATACCCTCGTGGGGGCGCGCTCATGTACAGTACAGTTCAAATACAGATTATTTCAGTTCATCGAAATGCTGCACCTTAATGTTCATTTTATTATATTTTGTATTTATTTGAGTGAATGCATTATTCACAGTTTAATAATAATAAAAATATATATATATATGTTTTGTTTTGTGAAAAAAATTCTGCTGTACCGAAAACGTACCGAACCGAACCGTGACCAAAAAACCGAGGTATACGTACCGAACCGAAATGTTTGTGAACCGTTACACCCCTAGTGTGCATTGAAAAACACAAGTGTGGATCCGGAAATACAAATGTGAATCCTTCTGTGTGCACGTGTGTATTATGAGACTGTTCTGAGCCCATATCAGCACAACAACGGTAGAGACGAGAAACTGCGACACCTAGCAGAAAGAAGAATGGAGAGAAATTTGTGAACATCATACCATAAATCAAAAATATTACCTCATGTATCATATATGGAGAGTTAATTTGCAAAAATGGATAAAAGCCGATCTTAAAATGATTAAACAAACGCCCGTTTGATACTCCTGAGTGCACACAAACAACGTGACATGGAAAAGTAATTAACTATGGATATGTTATTGATCACCCCTCGAATATGTTCTCTTACATGTTATGAAATATATTCTCTTAAAGGTAGGGTTGGTAAGAAGAACGGAGAAACCAGCTCGAGTGCGCTAGAATTTGAAAGTACGCAGCCGAAAAAAATCTGCCCCTTCCTTCAGACTTCCTTACAGAGCCCCTCCTCCAACACACACGAACGCGCACATGACCAATGAGGGCACGAGATAAGTTTGTGCACGAGATGGAAGGCTGACAAAAACGGGCGAATAGTGGCACTTTGGGCTTTCCATATGGCAGGCAGGATACACGATTATTACCTACCCTAACTTTAAATGATGTGGTAAACGGAATAATTACGTCTACGCCGTTTTGTATTCCTATAGGTTGTACAGTAAATACTAGTGCATGGTTTATACTATAACCAGTAATTTTGTTTACACATTTATGTAAATTGTTAAGCATTTTAAATACCCTGACAATATTTGCGTAAACAAAAAAAAATGGTCTTCAATTGAAAATAAATATGTTATTTAAACACCAATAGCCTACTACAGCCAAACGTAACTATGAAAATAATAAAAAAAATGGTAGGATTATTTTTATGGGAATATAGCCATTATAGCAATCGCTTAATCATTAGTTTTACTGTTTTGCCTGGTGGGCTGAAGATGATCTTTTAATTGGATCCTACACTTTATACACTACACTGAGTCTATGATCATAAACAGCACCTGAAGGCAGCTCGAGGGAGCGCAGCGTGCTGACGTCATACCTACGTGTCCCTGCTACAGCTCAGCAGAAGACACCAGCCTCCATCAGTACTCCAGTCATCGGTGCATCTATGTCGGCAGTCCACGGCGGGGAGCACAGACCCCGCGGTGAACACTCTCGAGGCCCCGGAGGACTCGTGCTGCTGGCCCTGGTTCCTGAATAGTTTTGCTTTAACAGTTGTTGGTATTTTTTCGTTTTTTCGAGTCTTCTCCTGCCTCGCTAGGGGATGTATGGGGAATGATCCACGCAGACCTTCCTCCTCCGCCTCCTCGGTAGCTCCGTGTCCCGGCTCAGGCCCCGGAGCTCTGCCCGGGATGAGGACCCTGCTCCCTCGGGCTGCGGTGCTCGCGGCCCTACTGGCGCTCAGTTCCTGCCTGACAGGTAAAAGCTGCAGTGGGCCTCAGCACTGCCGAACCGCCCTCTCTGTGCTCGGACACCCTTGCTCACATGATATCTGATATTGTTGCTGTGGACACCTTCAGCAGTTCATGATGACCCCTCACTCACACTCTAGGGCAGGGGTATTCAACTAAAATTCAACGAGGTCCAGTTAGATAAAATCTCCCCATGCAAAGGTCCGGAACATCAAAATGTCTAACTTGCTTTATGAATTAGTGTGATATATATTGAAGTAGCCTGTAGCTTTATCAACGTCTGCATGTAATCAACAACTGACTGCCAATCAAATAAAGAAAGTACAATTCATAAACAACAATATTTATTGTCAATGAACATTGAACTATACAGATATACAGTAAATACTGTGGATATGTGTAATGTTCCTCTCTGGCTGCATTTAAAAATAAAATAGAGAAAATAAATAAAATAGCTTTTGAAAATGTGTGCATCTTAAAAGTGCTTCATTTTAGATAAATAAAATAAAGTGTAGCAGCAGCTTGAGTTTCCCTTTTTCTTTGTTAACCGTTTCACATCATGACTTAACAGTTTCAGACGATTATAGAACAATATCAGTCGTTACACATCATAACAATTGAACAGTGTTAAAGTTTCTCTTTCTTTCCCTCTTATATTGCAGTCCCTCACTCACTTTTTATTCAGTGTGAGAGTTGAGCTGGAGCTTGTCCTGCCAGGAGTTTAAATCTGGGCTGAAATTGTGTCAGGGCCATTCTCATACACACATGCAGGTGCTCATTGGTTAGCCTCGGTTAGCCTGCCCTGGAACCATATTTAGTTGTAATGTTGATCCTGGTGGACTGATCATATCAGGCTCTGAGACTGCTTATTTTTTGTGACCTCAGTTCTGACTTGAGAGGGAATGTTTGGTCAAACACTTTGTGTTTTGTCTCATATGCGACTTTTCCCTTTCTAGCTCCGAGCGGGAGCTTTTCTGGTTCAGCTCCGGTTTCCCTTTTCTGCTCCCGCTCTGTTCACACCGCCCAGAGCTGCCGCTGCTGCGTCATGACGTCACCGTTTACGTGCCTGCTTCATTAAATCCAAACCTCGCGGAAATCCCTCACATCGACAACAACAACAATGGCCGTTTGTATTGAAGCGCTGTTCGCTTTGGTTATCCTCTTACGAAACGAAATGGAAGGCATCGGACGACTTTACAAGGGACGACTTTACTTGGAACTTTACAAACATCACATGCGAAATGCAAGACTTCTTTGTGGTCTTCAGCATCTACTTCAACCCGCCTCGACGTAAGAGAGACGTAAGCGACGCCGCCTCTTAGCTCCGAAGCTCTGGCCTCTAGACCGACACATTTTTGGAGCTGGAAGTGAACCGGATTCCGGAGCTAAAAGGCGGCGCCTCTGCAGTGTGAACAGGAAAAAACGGTACTTAGTTTTCAGGCTCCAACTCCGAGCCGGAGCTGAAAACGCGTTGGTGTGAAAGGGGCAATAGTGGCGTTTTGGCACTTTTAATGAGCACCATGGTCTCAACAAATGAGACACACTGGTTCTGTGCTCCCAGTGGGCAGGATGAACATGAATGAGTCCACTCAGGGTGAAAAGCTCTGTTCTCACTGTCCACTTTCCTCTTCTTGGAGAGCGCCATGTGTCATTATTTGTCTCTCCCTGTCTGCCGCTAACACGCCTGTTCACTCTCCTCTCCGCTTCTCTCTGCCGCTCTCTCGTCTCTTCTTCTGTGTTTCTCTCCCTGTATCGCTCAGTCGTCTCTTTCGCCCCCTGTCGGCGGCGGTTAAAATAGAATCGCCCCGTCAAAATTTAAATCCCCTATCAATCTATTGATTATAGGTCCGGGTCCGTATAGGTCGGCGTCTGGGTCCGGATCCGGACCGCGTTCCGCCTGTTGCCGACCCCTGGTCTAGGGTCTCTAGCCTATTGTCTATATGTTCTCAGGGGGTCTGCAGTGTATCTGCACAAACATTTGTTTAACTCTTTTGTTATGAATATTATAATTGTTGAACATTTTGTTAAAAAGTACCCTTTTTTGCCATATTTATATTTGATGTTGTGTGATTGATATAACTAAGGCTTGTTTCTTGATCAATTCAGAAAATGTCAGAATATAGTAAGAAATGTCAAATGGAGCTTCAAAAAGCCCAAAGTGATATATTCAAGCGGCTTGTGTGGTTTGACACTGTGTTTGCTGAAGGACCATGGCTAATATGAAAGACAGTACGTCATAAGACAGTTGAAATGATTTGGGGGATGAAAGCAGAAGTCTTAGGGTGTGACGGTGGGCATGCTGAGGTGTCAGAGCCTCAGTAACCATAGAGACGTGGGTGCTGTGCTCTGGTTGTCCTCAGAAACACATTCCTGCTGCCAGAGCTGAAGAGCTCTTACTGACCGGGTGATCATATGATGTCACACAGTTTATTCTGAGGCTCACATTCCCATCTTGATAGTGCTTGACATCAGGACACTGTGATGCAAACTGTTTTACAACACATGACAGTGATCAGAACAGAATCCAGACCATCATGTCACACTTCCGTACTTTTCTCCACTGAAACAGGGATGACATTATTTAATGCAGATCATTAAGGCCAGTTCCTGAAATGCAATGTCCCGTTCCACTTAAAATAAATGGATGAAAAGTCCATTAAATTGACTGGATGTCATTCCAAAACAATAAGTGCAATAGATAATCAGTGAAATATTGAAGGTGTGTAATAAACCCAACTGATCTAATTTCACTCACCTTTTGAAACTGAGATGAACACTATAGTATTACATAATTGTATACATCCAAATATTGTAGTGATATATGAGTAACGGTACGTCCACACTGCAGCTTTAAACAAATCTTCAACCGCTTCCAACGCTTCTCTGCCCATTGACTTTGAATGGGGATGACGTCACTTTGCCTCGCTTGTCGCCGAACTACATTGTGGGGGAGCGAAGCGAAGATTTCCAGGATTTCCAGGATTTTCAGGATTCAAAAGTTGAGCAATGTTCTACTTTTGAAGCTGAGCTGGAAGCGTCAGCCAATCAAATCCCGTTTATACAAATCTGACAGTAGAAGCGCTAGCCAATCAAACCGCGTGTAAGCAGGGAGAACCAGACCGCAGTTCATTTCCTCATATTCCAAACAAGAAATTACGGTAGCAAATCACCCGGTTCTTTACGACCAGAACTATTTACCGGGATACAAACCGGAGGAACCAGGCATGGAGGGAGGTGGCAGAGACAGTGGGTGAAACTGGCAGGTTTTCGCCTGTTTGGGGATTTTATATATATATATATATATATATATTGCTCGCATAAAATCCCCGGGGTTTTTTGCTTTGTATGTTGGGGGCAGGAGATTCATGTGATTGGTTGTTGGTCGCATAAAAGCCCCGGGGTTTTTTGCTTTGTATGTCGGGGGCAGGAGATTCATGTGATTGGTTGTTGGTCTCGTTGCTCGCAAAAAATCCCCAAGCTTTCAGACACGCCCAGCTCCAAGATTTTCAAGATTTTAGAAAAGCTGCTGTGTGGACGTACCGTAACGGCCCGTCCACACGGCGGCATGCGTTGAAACTTCAACGCTTCTGCCCATTCACTTTGAATGGGGTGACGTCACACTTTGCCGAACTGCATTGTGGGAGCGTCGCTTTGCTTTGCTCGCGTTGCTCGCTTCAAAAGTTGAGCGTTGCTCGCTTCAAAAGTTGAGCAATGTTCAACTTTTCAAGCTTCGACGGAAGCGTCAGCCAATCAAATATTATGCCAGTAAGCTCTAGCCCAGGGGTGGGGTACCTCCGGCCCCCGGGGCGTATACGGCGCGTGAGACCATTTGGTACGGCCCTCGAGGTAATTTATAAACACGCAAAAAAGTTAAACAAGCGAGTGCCTGTTTTTCCTGGCCAAGGTCAGGGTCCTTGAACACAACACGAGCCTAACGTGTCATCACGTGGTATATGTCTCGTCTGACAGGGGTGTAGTTCTGACGGAGAGCAACAATTGCAGTAGCCTACCATAGACTGTATATAAAGTAGCCTACCCATAAGGAGCCGTACACATGCTGCAGTTTTTGCGTGTCTGTGTCTTTATTTGAAAGCCCAGTGGCGATCTGTCATACTGATCATACAGTCAATACCTTTGTTGTTATTAGCATCTGGTTAGCTAGCTATGCTAACGAATATAAGAAGCTTTTTCTCCAACCAGTGAGGTAAAGGCACATCTTTATATGATCATTATTATAAAAAAATAAGATAATAAAGTAAACGGGTATAAAATACTATATGACAGTAAAAAAAGTTGTTATTAATAAACAAGAATACAGTTTGAAAGGAGAGTGATTTGTAAAATGTCCATAAAGAAAAAGAAAATCTGCTTACAGTTCTGTTTCATATGGGTGCTGAGAGATGTATCCATAGATCTCCTAATTTTGCTTTCAAAGTGCACCAGATTGATGCTTTCAACTTCAACATTTAAAAAAAAATCTTCCCGGGGGAGCATGCCCCCCAGACCCTCCTAGAGGAGGTTAGGTCCCCCCCCCACTTAAATCATGTCCACATGGTTAGGAGTCTAAATACATTTGCACACATCTTGTGTCCATATCTTTCTGTTTTGGTGGTCATGCCACAACCGTGCACGTGCATGCATCATCATGGTAAGATATCTGGATTAAGAGGTTGCTTTTTCTTTGCACAGCATGAAAGAAAGGCCAAATGAATGGGCTGTGATTTTAGTTTTTTTAAGCAGAGGTCAATAATTTGTACGGCCCTCAGAGGATGTTGAAAAAATTGAAATGGCCCTTGAGAGGAAAAAGGTTCCCCACCCCTGCTCTAGCCAATCAAACCGTGTGCTTGTGTGTCCGGGGCAGGAGATTCATATGATTGGTTGTTGGTCGAGCTTCAGACACGCCCGCCGGCAAGCTTCAATGCACGCCGTCGTGTGGACGCTGCGTTAAAGAGGTGAAATAATTATGATATTTCGGGTTTTTCTCACTCTGAAGATTGCTGATTGAAGGTAATGTTAAAATTAAAAAAGATTTTCATCATTAAAAAAAGTATCAAGTTTGTGTAGAAATATATATATATTTGTGTATATATATATATATATATATATATTTGTATATAATGCAAGTTCATACTAATAGTGATCATTTAAAAACTTGAACACTAAAACAAATACATAAGATAAGAGAAACCTTCCTGTCGGGAAGTTCATGTGTTTAAGCAGAGACAGGCAGCACAGGTAAGAGTTCTCTCAATACATCAGTAGTCATTTGGGGCTAAGTATCTTAGTCAAGGACAATTTGACATGTTGGCTGCAGTCTGAAGTATAGTGTGAAGGGGGGTGTCAGGAGGCTCAGACGTGTTGCTTCTTGCTGTGCATGGTAAAGCAGCGTTCAGTTATTATGCTCCAAATATCTGGAACAAACTTCCAGAAAGCTGCAGGTCTGCTGCAACTCTGACTACTTTTAAATCCAGGCGAAATACTTTTATTTTTACCGCTGCTTTTAATTGATATATTCATATCTTAAACTACACTGTACATTTTATTATCTTTGCTTTTTATCTTTGCCTTTAAATGATAAATGTCATTTTATATCATCGCTTTTAAATGAGTGTTTCTAGATATCATTTTATAATATGTTTCTTAATGTCTTTCATTTTTGTAAAGCACTTTGAATTGCCTTGTGTTGAAAGGTGCTTTCATATAAACTTGCCTTGTGCTGTTTCTGTGATGTCATTCTCCCAGTGCTAAGGTTCAGTTTCTTGAAAAGTCATTGTGGATTTCTCCACAGGATCTCACCTGTGCCCTCGGAGTTTAGACTGTGCCCGGGCAGGACGTGGCTTCTGCCCCCCGGGCGGCTCCCACTGCGGGCCCTGCCTGCGCCCCCTACTGGAGAATGCCCACGGCCGCTGTGTGGTCGAGAGGAGGCACGCTGCTCACAACACTAAAGGTATGTGGTAGCACAAAAAGCCTTACTTACTCAGCATAGTGTCAATTCCTGAACAACAAAGTGCAAACATATTTAACATCAAATGTAAGCACTGCATCAGGAAAAAGTCATTGTACCCTGTCTATCTCTTACTTAGAAGATTAGAGCCTCCTGCCTGGTTTACATCATTGCATTTTAAAACAAGCGCACTAACCACAGCCATTGTGAACATGAACAGTACAGGAAGTTGAATTGGATTGGATCTTTTGGCTGTCAATGTGTAAGATCAGTGGAGCTCCCGTTATATTAGTACAAGTGTATCATACAACAGCACCATGGAGATAAAGAGAACAAGTGATGTATGTGAGTAGAAAACATTAATGGGACCAGTCATATATATAGCTGCTTTCTCCAGAGCACAAGAGTGAGTCTTTGGAGACAAAATGACTGATGAGATAAAGCTGGAAACAGTACAACCCGTCGGCATATCCCTATTTGGTAGATGATACATGATGATACACCCTTTGGATTATTTGAATCAGTTCAGGTCATAGACAAACATAATTCAATAGCTATGGCTTGATGTCAAACCTCAAAACGTTTTGTTGTATCTTATGTATTTGTACTTAACAAAGCATAAACACTCAGATGAATTGTCAGATTCATAATCTTTTTTTATTATTTGATCACATAGTAAAATAATAATACTACATTTTATTTAAGGTGCCTTTCAGGACACCCAAGGACACCATACCATTTGTTACATATTCAAAGAGGTACAAGCAACAGAACATGATAAAAACACTAACAAACCATCATGGAGAAGACAATGTGGACACACATGATTGGGAAAAGGTATTCAGGGGAAACGATGATAGTACAGTGAGTAGGCTGATCTGAACAGGTGGGTTTTTAGCATGGTTTTGAGGAGGGACGTGAATGTGGCGATTGTGTCAGACTGTCTGATGAGTGGGGGCAGAGAATTCCATAGTTTGGGAGCAGTGCAGCTAAAAGCCTGAGCCCCCATCGTGACTAGGCGTGGGGTGGGGGCGGTTAGCAGGCCAGCAGAGGAGGAGCGGAGGGAGCGAGAGGGGGTATAGGAGGTCAGCCAGATAGGTGGGGGCCAGGTTGTGGAGGGCTTTGAATGTGAGCAGGAGGTTTTTGAAGTCTATCCGGTATTTTACTGGTAGCCAATGCAGATGGATGAGGATGGAGGGTGATGTGGTCAGAGGATTTGGTGCGGGTGATGATCCGGGCAGCAGAGTTCTGAATGATTTGAAGTTTATTAAGGAGTTTGATGGGAAGACCTGAGAGCATGGTATTACAATAGTCAATACGGGATGTGCCGAATGCATGAACCAGGACTTCAGTGCTGGGTTGAGACAGGGATGGGCGGAGTCTGGAGATGTTTCGGATATGAAAGAATGCAGTCCGGGTGATGTTTTTTATGTGGGGTGCAAATGAGAGGGAGCTGTCCAGAATGACACCAAGGCTCTTGACCTGGGTAGAATATGGAACAGGGAAATAATCTATGATTAGGTCTGGGGCAGAGGGGGGGTGGAGCTTTGGAGAGGGTGGATTTGGAGCCAACGAGCAGGGCCTCCGTTTTGCTCCCGTTGAGCTTGAGGAAGTTACGGCTCATCCAGCTCCTGATGTCCTGGAGGCAGGTGCTGAGAGAGGTGGGGGGAGGGCAGTGTTGGGTTTGGTGGATGTGTAGACCTGTGTGTCGTCAGCATAACAGTTCAATTGGACCTCATGGTGACGGAGGATGGTGCCAAGAGGGAGGAGGTAAATGATGAAGAGGAGTGGACCCAAAACTGACCCCTGGGGGACACCATGTGAAACAGTGGAGCAACTGGACTTGTGGTTATTGAGTTGTATACTGTTTTCTGTCTGTAAGGTAGGATGTAAACCTAAGAGCTAAGAGCAAATCGTCCCATTCTCATGAACAGGATATCTTAGCAACACTTTAAGGGGGTGGTCCACAATTTTGAGGTTGAAATATCACGGTGAGCTAATGTCTGCCCATTCATGTGATATCTCTGTAATGCCTTTAAATTTAGCATAAGGGTTCACTTTGACTCAAGGATGAACTCAATAGATGAGGTCAAAGATCAAGTTCACTGTGACCTTACACAACTCATATACATATGCAATATGTTCATCTTCAATTTCACAGAAATGTTTAATAGGATAAATGATGAACTGACATTTTGGATAGCCTTGTATTGGAACTGCAGCTTTTTCTCGAAGTATTGCATTGCAGTTGGTATTAGTAATACAACGCATATCATATTGGCATGAGGATTAAATCTTTTCGAAAGATACATAACCCTTGCTAAAAAGCACAGTTCCATTAACACTGATGAATACTTATTTGTGGACCATCAGTGAACTAAGCTGACAAACAACACTGACAAAGTATCACCCCACTGTTCTGTATGTATTAGAGCTTCTGAAGGTTCCCGCTAGGAGTCCCGATGAGGAGAGCGTTGCAGTAGTTGAGCCTTGAGGAGACAAATGCATGGACCAGTTGTTCAGCATCTGACAGGGAGAGTGTGGGACGGAGTTTTTCATTGTTCCTGAGGTGGTAGAAGGAGGTTCTGCACAGGTGTTTGATGTGGGTGTCAAAGGTTAGATGTCTGTCAAATCTTACACCCAGGTTGGTAACTGATGTGGAGAGGGGTATGTTTTGGCCAGAAAAGGTGATGTGGGTTATGGGGGAGACTGGACCTGGTTTGGTGTGACAACTAAAATAGCCTCGGTTTTGGTGCTATTTAGCTGCAGGAAGTTCTGTTGCATCTAAGCCTTTATCTCCTCAAGGCAGGTGTTAAAGGATGTTGATGGGAACGGTGATGATGAGGACTGTGAGGATGCATCACACTGTGAGACTTTATTTGATAATTTCAGTAAAAAGGTAACGTTCATATTTCTCCTTTTGATTATTATAGTGATCAACGTTCAAAACAAAGCACTCTAGCAAGTGTCCACATAAGTTGTAAAATGCTGAATAAGCACCTTAACTTTCATGATACGCATTTCTTGGTCACGATCGGTTGTTTCCGTGAATGACTGAATGTTGTGCCATCGTAAATGTTGCAGCAAGGCATTGTGGGACAGCATTTTCTCCTTTCCTTCCCTAAATGAAGGTCCAGTGTTTCCTAAGCTAAAGGCGGTTATAGAGGAAGTATTGAAGCTCCTTTCCTATCATCTATAGAGCATTCCAACAGCTCTTATCATGGCTGCTACTGAGGTACTTCCGGGTCGTTTCACTCCGTTAGGAACCTTCCTAAGATAAACTGACAATTCGACCTCAACCTGTGTCTGCCTGCTGTGTGATTGTGAGCAGGTGGTGTGCTCAGGGTTTATCAGAGCTACTTGATTAAACTGCTGCCGCTGGGAACGACGCCGATGAGTGTGCGAATTAAAATCAAAACGATGAGCTAAAAGAGAATAAGAGAGCTGAGAGGCGCTGTGGTTTATCAATGCAAAAGACATCAAACAGATGAACATGATCCATTGTTGGTAATAAAAATGTTAAAAGGCAGTATTTTATTTTGGAACACCAACAGCTTCATTCACTAGCACTAGAACAGAAAGGCTGTTGGACCCCTGACCACACTGTACAGGGGACTGTAAACGTGCACAGCCATGCTCTTTGTTCCTACTCCACTCTGCCAGCCCTCTCTAGCTGTTCGTCCTTCATTGTATTCTTTTCACTCCTCTCGAAGGGTCAGGTTTGAAATGTTTTCTAAATCACAGATAAGGAACTAGGATATTCACAAAGTATTCATACCCCTTCACTTTGTGTCATATGTTGCAGCCATACAGTATGCTCAAATCAAAATCATTATGACAGAATAACTTCTACCATTTTATTTATTTATTGATCCTCAAAACGATGCTTTACACCTTGATTTGATTGATTTGACATCATTTGGGAAGACACACACCTGTAGGTCTCCCAGCTACCCATACATATTAAAGTAAAACTCAAGGCAGGATATCAAAGGAAGTGCCTGCAGAGCTGAAAGATGAAGCACATAGACAAAGTGTTCCCTGGGTAACCATGGGTAACACGGAAGCTGTTTCTGGAAAGAGATGTTGCTCTTCAATCTGTTGTTTGAAGGTGGAGGCAGAAATCTAAGAGACAATCTGGTTCCTCCTCCCCCTCTCCCCCCTGTAGCTGGGCCCATGCTTTTCCTTCATGATTCTGAGCTGCTTCCACCCACACAGTAGAACACAGAGCCCTCCACGTGCACACATAACATACAAACAGAACACAACACACCTATTTACCCACTCACACCAAATAGAACTATAATTATAAAATGCATTGATGGAAAGGATTTGACACATTTTGCCCATCATCCAGCCCTCTACTCACAACAAACCCTTCAGCCTCCAGCCCCTCACATACTTCCCCCAGCTTCAGACCATGCTGTACTATATCCTTGCTCTATTCTTCCAGGACACACATATGGCAAACTAAGCCTTCGTGCCTATGGGACTTCTTCCCAAACATAACGGCCCGTCCACACAGCGGCGTGCGTTGATGCTTCACCATTCACTTTGAATGGGGTGACATCACTTTTGGCCGAACTGCATTGTGGGAAGCGACGAGAAGCGTCGCTGGTGTGGCTCGCTGCAAAAGTTGAGCAATGTTCAACTTTTGATGCCTCGGCAGAAGCGTCAGCCAATCGAATCATATGCCAGTACAAGCTCTAGCCAATCAAACCGCTGCTTGTGTGTCAGGGGCGGGAGATTCATGTGATTGGTTGTTGGTGGAGTTTCAGACACGCCCGCCGGCAAGCTTCAACGCACGGCGCTGTGTGGACGGGCCGTAAGTGTTATGATACTGAATTAAAGCAAAGCAATAGGTTTCTACACGGACCACTATTGCGGTAAGCATGTTGTAACTTCCGGTTGTTGTCATCTCCGGGTATCCCGTGTGCCTGTTCTGTTGCTGATAGCTTATTATCTTAACTTAATCGATCGTTTTAAAACTCTTGATCACGGCA